AATAGTTGTGCTCCTACATCACTACATTCTATTTTGATAGACTCTATTGGCTCGTCAATCGTGCAATTTCACCTATATCAATCCCCCCAATTACAAGACGGACTTTATTCAACTGTTAGATAGAATATCTTAAGCCCTCTGTCCCGTCGTTGTGCTACACCAAGAAACAAACTACTGTCTTTTCTTACAGTGGCTCTATAAATTATCTCTCTGATTTTGGTATGTCATCGGAGGCCAACTCCTCTTTCAGAACCCTCTTTTCTACCTGGGCTAGTTGCAGAAATTTGAAGCTTCTATTCAATATGAAAGGAAATAAAAGCAAGTATGGAGAGGATAGGTAAATATAGAGTACAAATTTTAGTTACACCACTTGGTTTAAAGCTATACAAAGATTAATAGTAGAGGTTCTCACAAGAAAATGAGTATGCCCAAAGATAGCATTGAGTCACACCCAAAAGATTTTTTTCAGATCAGATTGCATTTTCGACCTCGACCATAATTTTACCATGCTACAAACTGTCATAAATTCGGTTAAAAGGTAAACGTTACTAATAACTCAACCAATGGCAGGTATAGAAAGAAACACTTTATTAAGTGAATTGATGATTAGACGATAGAAAGGGAAGATTTGCTGGTAAGTTTCGATGTAGTGTCTATGTACACTAGCATTCCGATAGGCGAGGCAATGAAGGCGTTAGAATTAATTTTATCAACACCCTGAAAGCATAACAGGTAGATTAGATTAGTCCATTTGGTAATGAATAACGCATATTTCACCTTGAATGGTAAGTTTTATGACTAGACACTAGGTTTGGCTATGGGATTTTGCTTAGCCTCTATTTGAGCGAACTACATGACCCAATTAAGAGTTGGCGTATTTGAAGAGAATCCTAGTTCCAAAGTAATTAGTTCGCTGTATGGACGATTATTTTGCTGTTTGGCAACACGGCAAAAATAGTTTGGGGGAATTTGTTGGGCTAATAAATAGAATAGATGCAAACATAATGTTTACCATGGAGATAGAGAAGGAAAGTAAATTACCATTTTTGGATATATTAGTGTGCAAAGAAGGTAATAAATTGGTTAGAGGCGTATACAGAAAACTCACGCAAGCAGGTTTCTTTACTAACTTCTCCTCGAACCATACATATAAAGTAAAAATATGAGTTATGAAGTCTATGATAATAAGGAGGCTGCGTCTAGCAGGTGCAAACCATAGGGACCAGGAGGTTGGCAGATTGAGGGATATACTGTTTTAAAAACAATTACCCATTAGGATTAGTTGACACTTACCTATCAATTGTAGCTAACACGATTAAGGGAGTTTGCTATCAGGCGCGGGATATAAAAGTGGACAATTCTACTCGGTTCCTGATTTTGCCTTCCTGTCAGCTTGCGAAAAAGTTGGGTGAAGTATTGAGGAAATGGACCATAAAAACAATGTATAAAGAGAAATTAACACTTTCTTAAATAGTTCCTTCGTTTAGAGAATATTCAGACCCTCTTTCTAGACCATGTGGTAAGGTATACGTGGGGGAGACATTCAGACCCATTACTGTTAGTCTTTAAAACTACTAACATCGAAAATAAGTAAGATTGTTGATTTCAATGGCATATAAATGTTGGCCTAATCGACACTCCTATTATAAATGCGATTTTAGTTAGGCCTGACTTGTCCTGTGACCCCCTGACATCTGTGGCTGTGTCTTGGAGTGATAACGTTGCCACGACTGGGTATCGAATCCTGTCGAAGGGGCTGGTAAAAGTTAGACGAAGTTGGAAGGTCCGTCTGATCAAGCCTGGTTGAAATAGCCTTCTAGGAGGCAAGGCTAAATGAAATTTAGTGGTTCCTCAGTCCTCAAATCATCTTAACCAACTTATATTGACTAAGTTCTTACTTAAGAATTTAGGATTGTCTCGATAACTACTCACATTAATTTGTTGCAGATAGACGTGGACAGAACGTAATATTTCCTTCTAAATGTGGAAACAAATGAAACATTTTCTTTTAATCCCAGCAGACTCATCACTGCGATTAGGCTAAGATGAGTAGATTTCTCAGCTTGAATTTAAAAAGTGGAACTCTATTTAGAAGCAAGTTCAAGCATGTTATTTATATTCGATAAGAATATGTTTAAAGGCAATTCGTATTGCTTGAATAACATATTTATTCACTCTTCAAGGTATTTAAAAGTCTCAAAGTTGAATATTCATCAGTGAAATGGGTAGACTGCATTATGACACTGAACTCGAAAAAGTTTTCTACGAGTCTTTCTGTCCCAGGTTATACTGCAATTTCAAATTCCCAAAGGGTCTCATCAGCGCCTCAAAGGGATTTTAACCCAAATCAAAAGTGCCGTTCAATCAGGATAAATCCAGCCTTTTGAAAGGCAAGGCTAAGTAAATAATTAAATAAGCAAATAAGTAAGGATTGGGAAGATATGCTGTACCGGTTTAATTTAAAATTGTCTGGAAAGGTCCTCCTTTCTTAGCATTTTGACGATTTATATTTTGATTTAAAGATGACAGAGTTCTCTGGTGATACCGATTATACTTACTGCAGAGCGTCTGGAAAAGTATCAGCTAACGGATCAAAATATGGATACTTTCAAGAATATTGTAACAGAAGACGTATTTTCTTCGAGGCCTCTCTGATGCCCCAACGAAGTTGAAAAAACTGGATCAATCAACTTCTTACCTCAACCGATTTAATTTAACAAAAGTTAGCATGCTGAAATTCAGTAGGAATATCGTTATTAGGCTTTACATACAATCACCTTCCGAAGTAAAGGAATCTCTTCTCGGCTCCACAAACCCGAGGTTCGTCGAAGAGTTTACTCAAAGGGTATAAAAGTCGAAGGGTGTGGTCTCTATTTTGGTCGCATTTTTCTTTGCCAATTTTGTTTGACCTCGTTTACGCAACTTTGTCGTGTTTACGTGATAATTTTCAGCTCAGAAACATGGAAATGACACATTTTAGACAGTTAGGCTATATTGTAGACAGCATCGTCTGTCAGCATTGTTAGACTTAGGACAAGACTACGATCCATTCGAGAGACAAATGAGATCAATCTCTTGACAGACTTCCAACTGAATAGAATTATTTTGACCTCGTATTCCCCAATTGGTCGTGAATAAACTTTGTCCAAAATTCTCTATCATCGTAATCGTTGTAATGGTTTGCTTTAGACAGTAGATTTGGTATATTCCGACCATGTCAACAAGCTGACGCTACAACTTATCATGTCTTCAATGACGGAATGGGGACTCTGATGCAGGCAAGACAAATGGAAATGTAAAAACTCCACAATCCATCGCCCGAAATTATCACGTCTGGTGAGACAAAAGTGTCTGGAGTTGTCATGACAACCCGACCGATTTAGGAATAAATGGTTGAAGTTTGTTAAAGAGATTGACTTCCGTTGTCTCTTAAACGTGTATAGATTAGTGCTAAAATACGATCATGCCGACTCTAATGCAGGCGTGACGCCTGCAAATATACTACTTCTTCGGTCTACTGTTGGGAGTTATCACGTGGAATATGACTTCGAATGCGATGCATTCATTTGTCAAGGTGATTCTGGCAACACCAACATGTGGGAAAGCCCGGTTAGTTGATGGTAGGCCGAGCGAGTGTGATCTTCTGCCTGTCCTCACACCCCAACCCGCATCCTCATTCCCGACCCACCGCGATCAGGTGACGCAGCGCGACATCTGGCGTCATGTGCAGAATGTGCCGATGCTGAAGTACACCGGAGCGCTCGAGTTCTACAGCCATCGCATTCTGCCCGTCTGCTGGGACCCGGTGTCAAGGCGGGTGATCTGCGCCGCCCTTCACTACGGCCAGGGGCGAGCCTTTGCTGTGGCCAGTCAACAGTGGAGTTCTCGTTTTCTGGAAGTGCCCGACGAACGACCCGACATTCACGAGGCCATCATGGCCTGGCTGACTCGAGTTCGAGCCCGTCCCCGACTCAGTCTACCCGACGACAATCGGCACATCGTCTCCTGTCGTCGCGGCGCCAACTTGGACCAACTGCTGACCGAGGCTCGTCGCATTGTCGTCATCTTCTATCCCGACTGTACCGTCTCTCGGCTCGACGAGTTTGTGCATCGCTTCCGCTGGGGCCAATTCGGTCTGATTCTGGCCGGAGCCGGTTGGAGCATGCGAACTCGTCGCAATCTCGCCTTCACCCAACTTGCCGATCGACTTGAGTTGACCTTTCCCCCGGTGGTCGTGGTACCGCAGGACACCGCGTATCCCGCCAGCCTCTTCACGCGTCACCAGCACGGCTTGGGCCCCGTTTCGCTCGACCTCGCTCTGATGCGGGCCACGCGCAGTCTGGCTCTCTTCGACACCGCCCAGCCCGATCTGCCCGACACTGGACAACTGTCGGCGCCCCAGCGACGCTTGATCCAGAGCGAGTCGACCAGTTCTCTGATCGCCAATCTCTTGACGCGCTATTCCTCCCTCATGGACTACGTGGCGCCGTGTCCGAGTCGGCCGTTTCGCGGCCTCACTCGTGGACAGCCCAGCCTCCCACTGCCTCATCGACACGCCATCCTCAACTTCAACCGGTTGGTGTTCGCGCCCAGCCTCCGCTACACCGGCCTCAAGCTGCCGGGAGTCTCACAGTTTCCCGGCGACTTTCCAACTCGTCCGGCCCACGGCCTGCGGACAAGTCAACTCTTCCTCGAGGTGAATCACACCGTGTCCGGCGAGAAACACACCACCGGATTTTATGCGCCCGCCGGTGCCACCTTCGAGTACGAAGTGGCTTTCGTGGAGCCGCCGGGCGGCAGTGAAGATGAGCCGATCGGCTGGAGCCTCGAGATCGGCTGTCATACCGACCGCCTCGAGCCGCTCGCCCGATGGGATCGATTTCCCGTCATCACACATCGCGTTCCCCTCGAACTGCACGGCGTCGTCTTCACTCCCGTCGGCGGTGTCGTCTTCCTCTCGAGCAGCCTGTCGTCGTCTCATCTCATCATTCACTTCTACGGCCTTCAGGAGCACGCTTTGATGCATCTTCGCGACAATCTCAGTCTGTCCGACTGGGCCGCCGGCAGATGGCGCTACAACCTGGCTCCGTGGTCCGAGATCCTCGGCGACGCCGTCGCCTTCTGTCTGCCCACCAGTCTGGTACGTTCGGCCAGTCTCGACTATCTCATCCGATTGACACGAGACACCTGGGACCGGGTCGTCAAGGCCGACTACAACTTTCGCGGTGACTCCTGGCGCTCAGAACGCCGACAACGAGTCACTCTCGATGTGCAATTGATGGTGGGCTCGGGTCACAACGGCTACCCCATCGTGGGATCGCTCAACTGGTTCGACAGTATTTGGAATTTGACTCGCATTCGTGCCATCGGTTCGTGGGGCCTCTGCCACGAAATTGGGCACAATCTGCAGCGCAGCTGGTGGACCATGCCCGGATTCACGGAGGTGACAAACAATGTCATGTGTCTGATGAACTACGAGCTTGTCTTTGGCTTCGCTTCCCTTCAGCCCAGCCTAAAGAGCCTCACTTCAGTCAAATCGGCCGCCGGCTCCGGTACCAGTGCCAGTTCCGATGGTGCCAACGGCGAGTTGGATACCGAGGTTGCTGAAGCGCTGTCCTATTTGAAGCGCGGAGATGCCTACACCAACTGGTCGCCGAACATCGGATTGCAGTACTTTATCCATCTCATCAGTCACTTTGGTCTCGGCCTAATCAGCAATGCTTGGGTCAACTATAATCAGTTTCCGGTGAAACCGCGTGGCCTCGACAATTGGACTCTCATCCTTTCAAAAGAGGCTGGCCACAGTCTGGTCGGATTGCATGAATTCTGGGGTCTCCCGACCGGCCAGACGACGGCAGCACAACTCTCCAAACTGCCTTGTTTTCTACCGGACGACTGGATCACACAACAGGTGACCGACAGACTGGCCAAAATCAGGCGACACCAGAATCAGACCTGCGTTACTCGAGTCTCTAAGATAGAGCCAGTCAACAAACTGACGAATGGTTTCTATGAGTTACTGCCGAAGGACTTTTGGCGACTCGACCCGGCGCCTTCAGAAAACTGGCCAACTCCACGAAGACTAAATGACTAGCACACAATTGAGGACTCTTGTAGTCTATGAAAAGTATGAATCAAGAGACCGACCTCACTGTGATATAGGCAAATACTTTTGTATGTGTTTATGCTCGCTCGAATGTATGTATCTGTGTGCCTAGATACATATGTAAGTATATATATATGTATGTGTGTGTGTGTAGGCAAATATGTACGCTTGTATGCACACATATTTGCAGGTATGCATGCATGTATGCGTGTAGATACGATAATACCTTTATTCTTTCCGACGTCCGACTCTGCGGCGGAAGCCAAAAAGCGCCCTTTCTAGGATCCAAATGACTGCTGCTAGCAATTATTTCTCATCAGTCCACGTCACCAGTTTTATGCGGAATAAAAGACAGCTATTTTCAACTAATATAGAAATGCATATTTGTTTATAATTCATTGACATCAATTAACAATCAAAAAAGAGCCTCAGTGAAAATCTTGTTTTGAAGATGGCCTTTACCTGACTCTGCTTTGGGTGGTTTTAGGCTCAAACGCTAAAGCAAACGTATGACGGCTAAGGTGGTTTTACCTTGTCTTCACAATTCGGCCATGTTTCGTACGAAAGAGCTCGAAGACAGCTCCTTGTCCGTAGTCCTCTTCAAAAGTAGGCATTTAATTTCCAGCGTTGAGCAACGAACTGTACCATAGCTATGAAGACCAAGATGGTGTGGCATCTTTTAGTTTAGGTATCCTTTCGTTGTATAGAAATTGTCTTTGCAACTTTGTCATATTGGCAAGAAGACCTAACCGAACGCACCTTTTCCGAAGTCCATAGCATGTATGATACTTTCCAGATTCGGACCGTTGACTTGGTACATTAGCAGACGTTTCATTGGCATCGTCACTAAGCCTTGCTAGTCTTAGCAGCACGCAACAACTCGTCAAAGAGACAAGTGAAGTCGATCCTTTGACCAATTGTCTGCCAAACATTTGTGGTATCTCTCTTTCTATTCTGGTACATTCACTTATCCTGTATCGTCGTAGTACTGCTTAGCTCTCACAATTTAAACTTTTTTATATAAGCCTAGTTGAGATGTGACATTTTGAGCGAATTTAGTGAGACCTATTCACATTCTCCGCTGGTTCCCTCATCCCCCTCTCCCACACAGAGGAGACTATTCAGAACGAAATCACATGCGGGAATTAACCTCAATTTTCAGTCTTATCATAACTAAAGATTGAAGATCGGAATATTAAGGAGTTTTGCCATCAGTAACTTAAAACTAACAGTCATGGTGTTCTCAGACGAAGAATTGAACACACTGACTCGGATTTGCCTTAGTAACTGATACCACAAAGAATGCATATAAATAAATATAGGAGCAGATATCAGCTTGGATATTATGAATATAAAATTAGGAACCGGGAGGACGACCAAAAATGTATATGCTTGCCCTTCTGTAAATTGGGTCAAAATTGTAGCCATCGCTTAGAAAGGAAAAGATAACATTCTCCATCAGCCTGCCGACTCAACAGATTGGCAGATTTGATTGCGCGGGCTTTTATCACAGGAAATGTAACAACTGTGCGCAGAAGTATGTTGGTGGACTAGGAAAAAAAAATCAGTCTTAGGATCAAAGAGCATTAACAACCCTGCAAACCCATAGATACGGAGAGATCCAAAATAGCTGAGCATATTGTAAAACAGGACACGAAATTGACATGAAGGATGCCGCATATAGTCAAAATGCAAGAGTGAAATCATTGGAATATGGAGATACAAGACTAATGGGACCCGGAAGAAGGGGATTGTGGACGGATAGGAAAGACTCAGGTCAGCATCCCCTGCATAAGGGGGGATGAGAAAGCTAGCAGAGAGTGTGAATAGGCCCCAATGGATCAGCTCAATAGGGCACACCTCAACTAGGCTTATATAAGCAAGTTAGAAACTGTGATAGTGAAGGAGTGTTACGAGGATA